CATTTTTTTTTTTTGGTGGGGGATAGAGTCTTGCTCTGTTGGCCAGGCTGGAGTGCAGTGGCGTGATCTCGGCTCACTGCAACCTCCACCTCCCAGGCTCAAGCAATTCTCATGCCTCAGCCTCCTGAGTAGCTGGGATTACAGTTGTCTGCCACCATGCCTGGCTAATTTTTGTATTTTTAGTAGAGGTGGGGTTTCACCATGTTGGCCAGACTGGTCTCGAACTCTTGACCTCAAGTGATCCACCCATCTTGGCCTCACAAAGTGCTGGGATTATAACCATGAACCACCAGTCCCCAGCATCTACATAAAATTTTTTTTTTTTTTTTTTTTGAGACAGAGTCTTGCTCTGTGCCCCAGGCTGGAGTGCAATGGCGCAATCTCGGCTCACTGCAAGCTCCGCCTCCCGGGTTCACGCAATTCTCCCGCCTCAGCCTCCTGAGTAGCTGGGACTACAGGTGCCCGCCACCGCGCCCAGCTAATTTTTTGTATTTTTAATAGAGACGGGGTTTCACCGTGGTCTCGATCTCCTGACCTTGGGATCCGCCCGCCTCGGCCTCCCAAAGTGCTGGGATTACAGGCGTGAGCCACCGCGCCCGGCCCATAAAATATTTTTAAATTAGCCAAGCGTGGTGGCATGCATCTGTAGTGGCATGCATTTGGGTGGCTGAGGTGGGAGAATCCCTTGAGCCTGGAAGTTTGAGGCTGTAGTGAGCCATCCTCCCACCACTGCTATATTCCAGCCTGCGCAACAGAGACCTTTCCCCCCCACAAAAAAAAGTCTTAAGCAAACAGCTAAAAAAATCCAACTACTTGAAATCAGTAGGCAGATCCCAACCCACCCCCCAACCCTCAAAAAAGGGGAGAAAGAGTTGAGAAGCCTCTACATGCTAGCATCCCATTCAGACTCTTTAATCCTACAATTGTGGTTTTGTAAGAAAAACAGTCTTAAAGATTTCCAATAATTCCCACAGTGGCCATAAATTATCCTGGGTGTGTAATTTTCCCATCAGTTTAAAAATGCATATGAGAATAACCATGAATTTTGAATGTATAGCTGGTTGGAGTCCCAGAAGCTTTGTCTGGGATGCCTTAGAATTTTGAGGATCCCATTCCACTTCTTAATAATATCTCCAGAGCAAAGGAAATCTTAAATTCTGTTGGAATGTGAAGTTTGGGCGAAGTGATTTGCTTTGACAAGCATTCCTTGTACAGAATTCTTTTTATACTTGGTGGCGGCCTGCGCCCGCATTGTTCCACCAGTGACCAAGCCTTTCCGAGTTGCATGAAAATTGTCTTGAGACTTGCTTATGTCCTAGTGGTAATTTTTGCCCACCCATGACCAGATTATCCTGACACTAGAGACTTTTTCTCTGGAGTCCTTTATACTTGGCTGTGACCACCATAGTAGCGTTTAATTGGTCATCCTGTGCTGCCTTTAATTTAATTTAATTTTTTTTTTTTTTTAAGCAGAGTTTTGCTCTGTCACTCAGGCTAGAGAGCAGTGGCACCATCTTGGCTCACTATAACCCACCTCCCAGGTTCAAGCGATTCTCATGCTTCAGCCTTTCAAGCAGCTGGGATTAGAGGCATGAGCCACCACACCAAGTTAATTTTTGTATTTTTAGTAGAGACAGGATTTCATTGTGTTTCCCAGGCTGGTCTCCAGCTCCTGGCTTCAAGTGATCAACCCACCTCGGCCTCCCAAAGTGTTGGGATTACAGGCATGAGCCACCACGCCTGGCCTCACATTCTTTAATTTTCTCAAACTGCTTTGCTGAGCTAAGCCCATGTCTTTGGGAGGAAACATCCTTTAACTTCTTGGAAACATTGAACTTCTCTCACTCCCCTCAAGGATAATGTTGAATTTTCAGATTCTACATCTTCTCTTCTGTAGCTACTTAACCTTTTAATTTTTAACCTTAATCTAGACACAAGACTTTCAATTCTTGCAAGATCCCCAACAGATCCCCCAAGATCCCCCAACATATTCACATGTCGTGGTTTCTTTCCCCAATTTCATTTAAAACAATCAGCCCCACCCTGCCCGGCTCCCACCCTTCTTTTTCCTATCTAGTTTTCATTGTAATTGAATTATCCTGTCTAGTTTTTCATGGTAATTTTGGCCTGATTTCCTTCAGAGAATCTTTGACCTTAATTTTAAACCGATCACATCCTCATTGTAACTCTTCCACCCGAATGGAGGCGTGGGGGTGCATGCCTGTAGTCCCAGCTACATGGAAGGATGAAGCATGACAATCACTTGAACCTGGGAGGTGGAGGTTACAGTGAGCCGAGATGACACTACTGCACTCCAGCCTGGGCTAGGAAGTGAGACTCAGCCCCCAACCCCCACCACACCAAAAAAAAATTAAATTATACCACCCAGGTAATCACTGGATGCATGAAGATTTCTATTGTGTTTTCTTAGGGACTGTCATCTCTGTCTTTGTAAAACTTTTTAAACTCTGAAATATTTTGATAAATTTGTGACCAGGGATCCCTCAACAAAGATACTTTCAAGTTTTTTCTTTCTGTCTAATATCAGAAAGAGATTCAACCCTTCCCTATCTCACACTCAGGACTATGAAAGACACATGTTAGTAAAGCTCCATGTTTGTGGAGTGAATCAGTGAATGAGTCCTAGACTTGCACCCTATCCCTAAATCTTTCACTTTGATGGATGAATATTTAAGTTCATCAGTTAATCTGGAAGAAAGCCAAAAATCCAATCAGGATTAACTGGGTGGAGCTTAAGAAATCTAATCAAATGTAGTTTTCTTTTTCTCTTTTTCTTTTTTTTTTCTGTTTTTGTTTTTGAGATGAATCTAGCCTATTTCTCAGGCTGGACTGCAGTGGTACAATCTCAGCTCACTGCAACCTCTTCCTCCTGGGTTCAAGTGATCCTCCTGCCTCAGTCTCCCTAGTAGCTGGGACTACAGGCACACACCACTGCACCTGGCTAATTTTTGTATTTTTAGTAGAGACAGCATTTTACCATGTTGGCCAAGCTGGTCTCAAACTCCTGACCTCAAGGGATCTACCCTTCTCAGCCCCCTAAAGTGCTGACATTACAGGTGTGAGCCACTGTGCCGAGCCAAGGTGTTTTCTGATTGGCAAAGGGGTGATGTGATTAGAAAGGTCCATAAAATCCTCTAAAGATCTATGGGAGAGACCTGAGGCCTGGAGTTACTTCTTGATACTGTGAGGATTCCAAGCACCCTGAACACTGAGTCCAGATCTGGTAAGTTACCACCTCCATAAAGACACTCCCATTTGATCTGCAGTCAGCCAGCTTCAGATGGCTTCAGGCAGCCCAGGGTGGCACAGAGAATTATCCTATCTGTTTTATCAGATGAACGGATTTTGGCTTTGAATTTTTCTCTAAATGCAGGTTTGTCTTTATCCTCAACATTTTGATTTATGCTTTGGTTTTTGCCATTTCAAAATTCTTAGACAGGCAGTTTTTGTGTTTTTGTTTTTTGTTTATTTGTTTGTTTGTTTGTTTGAGACGGAGTCTCGCTCTGTTGCCCAGGCTGGAGTGCAGTGGCATGATCTCAGCTCACTGCAACCTCCGACTCCCTGGTTCAAGCAATTCTCCTGACTCAGCCTCTCAAGTAGCTGGGACTACAGGCGCCCGCCATCATGCCTGGATAATTTTTTTTTTTTTTTTTTTAGTAGAGACGGGACATCACTATGTTTTCCAGGCTGGTCTTGAACTCCTGACCTTGGGATCCACCCACCTCGGCCTCCCAAAGTGCTGGGATTATAGGCGTGAGCCACCACACCCAGGCTTCTTGACATTTTAAATACATATTATGTGATTTTGTGTGCCCTTAAATTATAGTTCATAGACTTTGGGGTATTGTGATTTTACAAGTTAGGTTTTCCTTTTTACTAAAAGTGTTTTTTTGAGACAGGGTTTCACCCTGCCAACCAGGCTGGAGTGCAGTGGCGCAATCTCTACTTCCTGGTTTCAAGTGATTCTCGTGCCTCAGTCTTCCAAGTAACTGCGATGGCAGGTGCATGCCACCACACTCAGCTAATTTTTGTGGGCTTTTTTTTTAGTAGAGACGGGGTTTCACCATGTTGGCCAGGCTAGTCTCCAACTCCTGACCTCAGGTGATACAACCGCTGTGGCCTCCTAAAGTGCTGGGATTACAGGTGTGAGCCACCACACCTGGCCCCTTCAATAAAAGTTTTAAAACATTGTATGTAATATATATATATATAATGTAATTACATTCTACGTAATATATATATATAGGCATAGTCTTGCTCTGTCACTCAGGCTGCAGTGGAGTGGCCCGATCTCAGCTCACTGCAACATCCACCTCCCAGGTTCAAGTTATTCTCCAGCTTCAGCTTCCCGAGTAGCTGGGATTATAGGTGTGTACCACCATGCCCAGCTAATTTTTTGTATTTTTAGTACAGACAGGATTTCACCATGTTGGCCAGGCTGACCTCAATCGATCTGCCTGCCTCGGCCTCTCAGAGTGCTGGGATTACAGGCATAAGTCACCATGCCCAGCCATTTTTAATGGTTCATTTTTAATATGTGTAAGAGGTGTGTATGCAAACATCTCTGTCTTGCAAATGATGCATAACACTGTCACATAGCTTTCAAAGTTTCCCACTGAAATTTTCAATAATGAGGCTGGGGTGGAGGCTCATGTGTGTAATCCCAGCACTTTGGGAGGCCAAGGCGGGTGGATTGCTTGACTATAGGAGTTCAAGACCAGCCTGGACAACAGAGGGAAACCCATTGTCTTTAAAAAATATCAGAAACTAAAAGGTTAGCTGGTCATGGTGATGCATGCCTGTGGTCCCAGCTGCTTGGGAGGCTGAGGTGGAAGAATCATCTGAGTCTGGGAGGTCAAGGCTGCACTGAGCCGAGACCCCACCACTGCACTCCATCCAGCCTGGGTGACAGAGCAAGACCCTGTCAAAAAAAAAAAAAGAAAAAAGAAAAAAAGGAGGAAGGGAAGGATGAAGGAAAGAAGAGAGAGATAAACAGAAAGAAGAGAGAGATAAAGAGAAAGAAAGCTTAAATAATGAAAAGAAAACAAATAGAACCCGTTCTAGGGGTGCCCCATGAATGTTCCCAACCAGCTAATTTGGAGGAACTGGGAATGTAGGCATGTAGGCTTGTGACACTCCCATTCCCAATGTTTTAGAATCTAGAGTAATTAGAAATTTCCCCCAAAGGTCGGAGGGATGAACTTTCAGGTTCCTCCATGCTCACTAGTCACTGGCTGGAGCACTGGATAGAGGGGAAGGGCTAGTGCCGGTCCTTCCTCCTCACTGCTTGGGAGACGCTCATGCTGATGCAGCAGAGGCAGAAGGCTGGCTTTGTGGCCACTGAGTACAGAGTAGAATTGGAGTAAACTGAGGACTCTTTCACCCTCGCCAGAGCGGTGACTTTGGCCCTGGGAGAAGATGAGATTGCAGGGGCTTGGCCTGAGAGTGATGCCTTTTCTCTGCATTTATCCTCTGGAACTTTTCCTTGCAGATTCATGAAGATGCGCATCCGGACTCCACCCAGACTCCTGGAGCTGGCGGGGCGGAGCCTGCTGAGGGACCAGGCCTTGACCATGTCCACCCTGGAGGAGCTGCCCACGGAACTTTTCCCCCTCTGTTCATGGAAGCCTTGTAGGAGACACTGTGAGGCCCTGAAGCTGATGGTGCAGGCCTGGCCTTTCCTCCGCCTTCCTCTGGGGTCTCTGATGAAGAGGCCTTGCCCAGAGACCTTCCAAGCTGTGCTCGATGGACTTGATGCCTGCTTACCCAGAAGGAGTTCGTCTCCAGGAGTGAGTGGCCCAGGTGGAGCTGGTGGGGGTTCGTCTCAGGTGAGGTGGCCCAGGTGGGCTGGTGGGGAGGGCCCAGGTGTCCAACAGAAGGAACAACTGGGTCATGAGGAGTGAGGAGGTCCAAGGGGGACCCACAGGCTTCTGATGGTGCTGGTGAGGAAGCTTAGAGAGGCCTTGGCCATTGCCCAGCTCCTCAGGGAAAGGACTGTTCACCACGAGGGGTCGACTGAGGTAACAGGAACCTGTCTTCTAGTGGCACTGAAAGGCACCACTAAAAGTGGGAACTAGGCTGGGCACAGTGGCTCCCACCTGTAATCCCAGCATTTTGGGAGGCCAAGGCAGGTGGATCGCCTGATGTCAGGAGTTGGAGGCCAGCCTGGCCAACATTGCATCCAGAATTGGTTCCTGCCAGTGCGTTCGTAGTCTCGCTGAGTTCAAGAATGAAGCCATGGACCTTCAAGGTGAGTGTTACAGCTCTTAAAGATGGCATGGACCCAAAGAGTGAGTGGTGGCAAGGTTTGTGGTGAAGAGCAAAAGAACAAAGCTTCCACAGTGTGGAAGGTTGCCGTGGAAGTGAGCAGGTTGCCGCTGCTGACTGAGGTGGCCAGCTTTTATTTCCTTATTGTCCCCTCCCATGTTCCATTTCTGTCCTATCAGAGTTCCTTTTTTTCAATCCTCCCCATGATTGGCTGCTTTTAGAATCCTGCTGATTGGTGTGTTTTACAGAGCACTGATTGGTGCATTTTACAATCCTCTTGTAAGACAGGAAAGTTCCCCAAGTCCCCACTCGACCCAGGAAGTCCAGCTGGCCTCACCTCTCAATCCCCCCTCTAAACAGGACACCCCAACTGCTGTTGGGAACTGGGTGGTGACCGCTCTAGCTACTTCCTGCTGGATAGAGGCAAAGAAGGAGCCCTACAGTTGTAGCATCCTCCAGAAGGGAACTCTCTAGGCCAGTCAAAGGGCCAGTGGGTCAGTCCAGAGGTTCTAGGTAGAAGTTGTGAGTAGAGCTCATTTGGGGTTCCATTTGTAGGACTGTCTGTAGCTTGATGACCTTGATCCTGGAGGAAACAAATTTGACAAGGAGGTTAAAAATACAGGGCCCAAAGGCGAGTAATAACAAGATGGGTGTCACTGGATGTAGAAAGGGGAGAAGCTAGGTCACCCAACTCCAGAGGTTGGTATAAGAGTTTGAAAGGCGTTGTCTGATTTCAGAAGCCTTTTCCTGTAAATGCCGGGCAGCATCTCATACTATCCCTGACTGGTTAGTGTAAAAACAACACTCTTCTCCTAAGAAGGTGTAGAGTCCTCCTTTCAGCAATGAGGAGGCCTAGGCCTTGGCGGTTTTGGAGAGTCACTGCTGCCAAAGGGTCTATTTGGGATTGTAGATTAAGGATAGATTTTGTTATTTCTTGCAAACTGCCTGAGAAATCCTTTGAGTGTGGTAGTAGGATAATGAATTAGATAAACTAGCTATTCTGGTTCCTGTAGCTGTGGCCATTCCTAACCCTATAAGTAGGGTTATTAGTTGTATGGCCCTGTACTGACAGACTTGAGCTTTGAGGGGCACTGATAGGGTCTGATTCCTGGGGCAATGTCAATGTTGGGACTTAGGAAGACTAAGGTGCAGGTGGCTGCAGGTGGGAAGGCAGATATAGGTTGAAATTCCATATTCTTATAGAATATGCCTTGGCTGGGTAGGCAGAACTGGTTGTGTACATTAAAAAGCAGTGTGAGTTTGTTGTTTTCAGTTTCCCATACTCCTAGAGTACTTGCCAAGGTAGCTCCTGTGAGCCGCTGGAAAGGGGCGTTGGGAGCAAACTGAGTGGCTCCCTGTGTTCTATTTTCTCATTGGAGAAGAAAAATTTTGTATCTACTAGGAACCATTCAAGAAAGTAATTGAAAGAGGAGATGAGAAGGCATTCACTAGTGGTGGGGGCGCTGCTGCAGGGGGGTCCAGGGGTGAATGGTCATGCAGGGAGTATGTTTGCCATTACCAAACACAGACTGTTTGTTAAGCAGGGAGGAGGTGATGGTTTTTGGGGTCCCTGAGAAGTGGACAAGCCATCTGAATGGAACTGTTTGGATGACTCGGAAGTCACTTGGATCAATGGGGACTTGAAGCTGTAGGGTGTAATTACTCTGATGGGGTGGTAGGTGCCCAGGGGCAGGCCTGATAACAGATTGCGTTGGATGCATAAAGGGACTTAGAAAGTTAAGATGGTATTCATGGTTACAGGGCTGGGTATGGGTCTTTCATTGCTCATGTAACAGGTGAGGTTGGAAATGTAAGAGCATAAAAGCTGGATTGTGCATCCTGTTAGGGTATTTTTGGTCCTATCAGAGATGGGGAAGTCGGCTAATGATTGCATATTTAGAAGTTGAAGAGGGTTTTTTCCTTCATAACGGGGGTGGTAAGTTAAGTTAGTAAAGACCCAGTTTTTCGCGGGAACAGGAGGGTCAACGTAAGCAGTGGCTGATAGAGAGATACAAAGCCAACAGTCATTTGCCAGGGAAGGATTGGACTGGTTTAACAGAGAGTGGGTTAAGTTGAGAGTATTGCAGAGGTATATAAGTTTTCAATTATTATTATTTTTTTCTTTTTGAGATGGAGTCTCTCTATCCCGCCCAGGCTAGGGTGCAGTGGTGCAATCTCAGCTCACTGCAAGCTCCGTCTCCCAGGTTCACACCGTTCTCCCACCTCAGCCTTCCAAGTAGCTGGGACTACAAGCACCCGCCACCAAATCCAGCTAATTTTTTGTATTTTTAGTAGAGACGGGGTTTCACCGCGTTAGCCAGGATGGTCTTGATCGCCTGACCTCGTGATCCGCTCTCCTCGGCCTCCCAAAGTGCTGGGATTACAGGCGCGAGCCACTGCGCCTGGCCTTCGCTTATCTTTTTAAGGAGGAAGGGGTTTTTCCTCAGGATCAGTTGTAGGAGCCTTTTTAGTTGGGATGTTTCCTTCCAAAATAGGAGACGCAAGTCCTCCAGTGGTTCACAGTTGTATTGAGGCTGGTCTGGCTGATCTTGGGACTCCTGAGCTGAGGGTCTCATAGGTTCTTCAGGGGGTGTCCAAAGTTTAACTTGGCTGTGGTGAATCCAAGATTCCACTCCTGCCACCTTAACTGAAGTAGGGGTAGAAATAATTACCAAGTATAGTCCTTCCCACAAGGAATTCATAGATGAGGAGGTAGAGGGGAGGGACTTGTCCAACACTAGATCTCCCGGTTGGAACAACTCTGTTCCCTTGTCTCTGTGACATCCATCGGGTACGTTGTTAAGGTTTTGTTGATATTTTGTCAAGGAAGTTATATCCTTGACCAGGCTGGCCATTTCCTGATCAAGTAGGAAGTCATTTGTGAGAAAATGTTATCCATACAGTATTTCATATGGACCAAGCCCCATTTTGTGAGGAGGATTTTGGATTCTCAACAAGGCAGTGGGCAAGAGAGTAGGCCATGGGGGATGAGTTTCTCGTGTTAGTTTCCTTAAGTGTCTCTTGAGTGTTTCTTTTGTCTTCCCAACCTTCCCTGAGGATTGTGGCCTCCAGGTGCAGTAAAGGTGATATTGTATCCCTAGGGCCCTGGAAATTCCCTGAGTTATCGTGGCTTTAAAAGCCAGATCATTGTCACTTTAGGGAAGCCCAAATCTAGGAATTATTTCATGAATTAGGACTTTAACCACTTTCTGAGCCTTCTCTGTCTTGCAGGAGAAGGCTTCTCTCCAATTTGTAGAGGTATCAACACAGACCAACAAGTGTTGAAATCCCCTTGACTTAGGCATATGCGTGAAGTCTAACAATAATAATTGAAAACTTATATACCTCTACAAGACTCTCAACTTAACCCATTCTCTGTTAAACCAGTCTAACTGCCAGTCCTCTCCGGAATAGTGCCCTATTCTTTGTTCCCCCAGAGAGGCCTTATGATGAACCAAGGGATTATTCCTTTGGCACACCTCACAGGCTTTGACTACTTGTCAGATGGTCTGGAGGAGATTTTGCCCTGTAAATAGGGATTTGGCCATTTGATGACTGCTCTCAATACCTATATGAAAAGTTTACTGGAGGGTCTTAAGTATTTTCCACTGACTGACTTCGGGTATGAGTACCATTCCCTCTTCTGTCGTTGACCACCCTGAGAGGAGAAAACTATGCCCCCGTGAAAGTCCCCATTCTGTTTCTGTCGGGAAATACTGGGGCTTAATCTCTTGGAGAGGGTTGTTGCATACCAAGTGTCCTTCCACAGGAATTTCTAATGGGAGGTTCTGCCTGGCAGCAATTTTGGCCTCAGTGTCTGCCTGACAGTCTCCTTCTGCCTTTTCTCTTTACCTTTTTGATGGTTTCAGCAGTGTAAGACTGCCACCTCCTTGGGTTTTTGCACTGTGTGCAATAACTCCATGATTTCCTTGTGTTATTTAATGGGGGTTCCCCCAGAGGTTAGGCACTCCATTTCGTTCCATATTGCCACATGGGCATGTATGATTAGATAAGCATACTTGCTATCTGTATACACATTTATTATTTTTTCCTTTCCCAGTTCTGACACTCGGGTAAGTGCCACTAGTTCTGCTAACTGGGCGCTGGTCCCTGGGGGAAGAGGCCTACTTTCAAGTACTGTTACGTCACTAACCATGGCATAACCTGCCCTTCGTATCCCATTCCCCACAAATGAGTTTTCATCGGTTTATGGGTTAAGGTCAGGATTAGCTAAGGGGACTTCTAAGAGATCCTCTCAGGCGGCATAAGTCTTGGCTACAATTTGTTTGCTGTCAGGCTCAATTGGTTCCCCATCCTTTGGGAGAAAAGTAGCCGGGTTGAGGGTCACTATGTGCATATCTGAAGCACCATTCCCTCAAAGAGTAGCACCTGGTATCTAAGCAGGTGGTTGCCTGATAGCCATAAATTTCCTTTGGCACCTAGTATGCCATTTACATCGTAAGTAGTCCAGTGAGATCCTTTCCTTGTATTATTTTGATAGCCTCTGATACTAAGATGGCCACTGCCGCAATTACCTGTAAACTGTGAGGCCAGCCTTTTGCTGCTACATCAATTTCCTTACTTAGGTATGCTGCTGGTTGTGGGGTTCTCCCACAGTCTGAGTAAGGACTCCAAGAGCTATTCCCACTCTGTATGTGACATATACAGAGAAGTTTTGTCCTGTGGGAAGGCTTAAGCCTAGAGCTTGTACTAGGGCCTGCTTTAAGGTTTTGAATGCTGTTTCTGCCTCTGGGTGCCATCCTACTAGATGAGTATATAGAGGAATTACTGTCTCATTGATGGCACTAGTCTCCACTGACCATTCGGTTTTTGTACTCCTAGAATTGGGGTGTTGCAGTTTTCTTACTAAGCAGTTTCTTACTGCTGCATTTTCTTACTAAGCCTTGAATTTTTAAATGTCTAACAATATCCTGCAATCCTTTACGAGCTTCAGACCTTAAGGGATACTGCCTTTGATAAGGAAAAGTGTTGGGTTCTTTTAGCCTGATTTGGACCAGGCGGGCATTTTTTACCCTTCCAAATTGTCCTTCCAATGCCCAGACTTCAGGGTTGATTCCCTCCTCAAGTAGAGGACAACAAATGGCTAACTTGTTCCCCATATTCATATAGATAACAGCTCCAGCTTTGGCTAATATGTCCCTCCCTAATAAGGGTGTGGGACTTTCAGGCATAACAAGAAAGGCATGTGAAAAGAGCAAAGTCTCCCAATTACAACTGAGGAGGCGGGAGAAATACCTGGTTACAGGCTGTCCCAGGATTCCTCGGATGGTAATGGACCCTGAGGACAGCCATCTAGGGCAGGAGATTAACACTGAGAAAGCTGTGCCAGTGTCCAGGAGGAAGTCAATTTCCTGGCCTTCAATGGTTAAACTTACCCAGGGCTTAGTGAGGGTGATGATATGAGCTGGCGCTTGCCCCAGGTGCCCTCAGTCCTGTTGTTGGATTATCTGGTTGGGGGCTTCTGGCCCAGAGAACCTTTGTCCTCTGGGGCAGTGTGCCTTCCAGTGATTGCCTTGGCATAGTGGACATGGGTGAGGGGGTGTCTTGTTTCTCAATGGACAAATGTCCTTGCAAACCACACTGATAAAAAAAGCCTTACCAGATGATTGGTCTGCTGCATTTTCTGTCCTTTCTGAACCACCAAGGTTTGTTTGTTTGAGGACCATGACTAAGGCTGTGGCCTTTCTCTTATCTTGTTTTTCCTTTTTGAACTGTTCCTCTTGGTCCCTATTATAGAACACCGAGGTTGCCAGGTTGAATAAAGCCTCGAAATTTTGTCCAGGGCCCCGGGCTAACTTTTGGAGCTTTCTCCTGATATCTGCGGCTGATTAGGTAATAAACTTAGGATCAATTGACCCTTGAGGGAGTCAGGTGACAAGGGAGCATATTTTCTTAAGGCCTCCCATAGGTGCTTGAGGAAGGCAGTAGGATTTTCTTCCTTTCCCTGAGTTATGGTGGACATCACTGAATAATTTATGGGGTTTTTCCCATTTCTCCTTAATCCTTCTAAAACACAGGTCAACAGATGTTTATGACTCCAGTCCCCATGATCTGAGTTGAGGTCCCAGTGGGGATCCATACTGGGGATGGCTTGCTGGCCAGTATAGAATTTGTCCCTTTCTTCAACTGTCATTCTACCATTTACTTGACTAAGATACCAGGTATCTCCAAACTCTCAGGCTGCAGCTAAAGCCACATTTTTTTCATTTAAGGCCAGGGTTTGATCTAACAATAGCATGATATCTCTCCAAGTGAGGTCAAAGGTTTGCCCTGGACCCTGTAGGACATCTATATACCTATCAGGATCATCTGAAAACTTCCCCAGGTCTACCTTGATCTGCTTTAAATCAGAGAGGGAGAAGGGGACATGTACCTGAATTGCCAAATTCCCCTCTCCTTACAGCTTGAAGGGGTCATAACCGATAGCCTGGGATGGGGGGTTGTGGTCCCTTGGAGACTTCTTTTCTTGTTTCCTTCTGGGTGGGGGAGATTAGAGGAGGCTCATCATTAATAGGAAGGAGAGCTGTAGGGAGGCTAGGATATGGGTGTAAGCTGAGAGGTCCTCCTGTGGAATGTAGATTGCAAGCTTTGCATAGTTGTGGATTATCCTTCAATGAAAAGAAAGCTTGGACATAAGCTATTTCACTCCATTTGCTTTCTCTCTTGCAGGAAAGGTCAAGCTGCAGGATAGTATTGTAATTTATACTTCCCTCAGGTGGCCATTTTTCCCTCTCAGAGAGATAATAATGGGGCCAGGCTGTAGTGCAGAAAAAAATAAGCTGCTTCTTTTTCAGGGTTTGTGGGTCAAATTGGTCCCAGTGGCTTAGAATGTATTTCAAGGGTCAGCTTGTTGATGCCTGAGTGTTTCCTATCTAAACCAGAAAAACACCACCTGCAGTTTTGGTCTATTTTTTCCCCCACCCAAGAACCCACAATGGTCCCTGAACCCTGCTGTTCGGAATAGTTGTACTCACCGAAGCAGCAGCGGAAACACCTGTTTTCCTCCTGACCACAAAGAGGACCGAGGAAGGTCAGATTTAGTGGCTTTTACCAATACATTCTAAAAAACCTGCACCCTTGCCATTCCTCTTAGACCACAAAGAGGACCGAGAAAGGTCGGATTTAGTGGCCCTTACCAACGCATTCTTGAAAACCTGCTAATTAGTCCTAAGCTTTTTCTCCTGTTGATATTGGGACCTTACCCTTGTCCTATAAAGATGATATTTCTCAAGTGGAGGACCATACCCTGAGGGAGGGAAGGGATCTCCAGGGTTGGAAGAGTGATGCCTTTTGTCCTCACTTTTCATCATATGACTAGGAAGGCTATCCCCCTCAATTTTGGAGTCTATAATTTCTGAGGCTCCCCATATCCTAGCTTCAGGAATAGCCTTTGTTAGACCTGCTAGTCTGAGGAGGGATCCTAAAATTCCAGATTGTCCCCCTCACAACAGGGCTGTGGGCAAAAATTATCTTTCTGATTGGTGAGCCCAGGTGCCTAAAGAAGGGAACAGTGTCCCGAAATTTATATTAGAAATAATCCTTATAGAAGAAACTAGAAGAGTACCAGGGACAGGAAGTGGTTTCTAGATGCAGGACTAGCCTCGGAAAAAGAAGTGGGAGGAAGTTTGTCTGACAGGCATTAGGACCCAGGAGGCAAGGGTCAGGATAGATAGGATAGATGGGCAAGTCTCACTTGGGCAACGTAACTTTGAGAGCTCCACTCATGGCTTCAGGGTTAACCAACTTTTTTGTTGGGACCCCAGAGCTGAATGGCTTTCCTCTCTGTTGACCCTTGGCTCAGCCCAGAAATGCAGGAAAAGTAGAAGCTGGTTTCAGGCAAACCAATGCTCCCAGCTCCAAAGAGTCAGGGGGTGTTAGAGGGCCCTTTCCCAGAAAGCCTGACACCCATGTCTTTAGTCCAGCAGCTGCGCTAGTCGCTTTTAACCGGCTGATAGGTGCCCAGTGATTAGCCCCCAAATTCTAAGGAAAGATAGGACAGAATAGCAAGTGAAAGGGGTCTGATGGTACTCATCATGTGGTGAGATCCCGAACGAGCCCCCAAGATTTGTCCAAAGTTGGTTCCTGCTGGTGGGTTTGTGGTCTCACTAACTTCAAGAATGAAGCCGCAGACCTTGCAGTAATTGTTACAGCTCTTAAAAATGGCACAGATCCAAAGAATAAGCAGTAGCAAGGTTTATTGTGAAGAGCATAAAGACAAAGTCTCCACAGCATGGAAGGGAACACAAGTGGACTGTCGCTGCTGGCTGGAGTGGCCAGCTTTTATTCCCTTATTGTCCTCTCCCATGTTCCATTTCTGTCCTATCAGATTGCCCTTTTTTCAATACTCTCCACTATTGGCTGCTTTTAGAATCCTGCTGATTGGTGCATTTTACAGAGCGCTGATTGGTGCATTTTACAATCCTCATGTAAGACAGGAAAGTTCCCCAAGTACCCACTCGACCCAGGAAGTCCACCTGGCCTCATCTCTCAACATGGTGAAACCCCGAATCAGTTAAAAATACAAAAATTCGCTGGGCATGGTGGCAGACACCTGTAATCCCAGCTACTTGGGAGGTTGAGGCAGGAGAATTGCTTGAACCCAGGAGCTGGAGGTTGCAGTGAGCTGAGATTACACCACTGCACTCCAGCCTGGGCAAAGAGGAAGACTTTATCTCAAAACAACAACAACAACAACAAAAACAGTGGAACTGAGCAGGATTCAAGGGTAAACCAGTGTGGAGAAAAGTCAGAGAGAGGGAGAAGAAGCAGGGAGGAGAGGAGCTGATATCCAGGATGTGAAGTATAAGTTCAGAAGTGAGTCCTTACATTCTCAGCTTCTCTTCTATTTTTCCACAGGAGGTGGAAACTTCAAGTGCTGGATTTACAGGATGTCAGTGAGAACTTCTGGATGGTTTGGTCTGAAGTCATGGCTGGTGGGTGCTTACCAAATGATATGTGGAACAGAAAACCAGTGCAGAACTGTCCAAGGATGAGAGGACAGCAGCCCTTGACAGTGTTCATAGACCTTTGCCTCAAGAACAGGACTCTGGATGAATGCCTCACCTGCCTCTTTCTATGGGTCAAGCAGAGGGAAGGTTTACTACACCTGTGCTGTAAGAAGCTGAAAATGTTGGGAATGCCCTTCCACAATATCAGAAACATCCTGAAAATAGTCAACCTAGACTGTATCCAGGAGATGGAAGTGAATTGCAATTGGACACTACCCATCCTGGCAGAGTTTACCCCATACCTGGGCCAGATGAGGAATCTTCACAGGCTTGTTCTCTCTGATGTGGATGTCTCTCGCTACATTTCCCCAGAGAAGAAGAAGGAGTTTGTTACCCAGTTCACCTCTCAGTTCCTCAAGCTGCGCTACCTCCAAAAGCTTTATATGAACTCTGTTTCTTTCCTTGAAGGCCACCTGGACCAGCTGCTCAGGTGAGGAAGGGTGGTGAGCTTTCTCTGCAGACCACAGCAGAGCCTTTCTTGTTACAGTGGGCATCTACTGTGAGCCAGCCTATGAGGATGGAACAGTAAAGGGGACACCAGAATGTCAGTGCATTTCCCTGTTGGAAGCTCTGTCCTGAAATGGGTATCACACATTCATCCCAATGAAGACTGAGGAATCAGCTGGGGTAGATGCTATAGAGAGGCTGCCATGCTAGGAAGCTAGCTACTGGAGGGTTCAGATTTAGTGAGGGTGCATTTGTGAATTCTTCCTGAGGATGTGTGTCTAAGTTAAGATGATGAGAAATAGGCCAGGGATGCTGGCTCATGCCTGTAATCCTAACACTTTGGGAACCTGAGGCAAGAGGATAATTTGAGCCCAGGAGTTTAAGACCAGTCTGGGTAACATAGCGAAGACCCCTGCTAAAAAAAAAAGAATAAATAAAAAATACAAACAAGATAATTTTGCTTTTTCTGAGATAAAATTTCACTTTTATTGCCCAGGCTGGAGTGCAGTGGTGTCATCTCGCCTTGCTGCAGCCTCCGCCTCCCGGGTTCAAGCAATTCTCCTGCCTCAGCCTCCTGAGTAGCTGGGATTACAGGTGTGGGTCACCACACCTGGCTAATTATTTTTGGTAGAGGCAGGGTTTCACCGTATTGGCCAGGCTAGTCTCAAATTCCTGACCTCAGGTGATCCACCCACTTCGGCCTCCCAAAGTGTCAGGATTACAGGCGTGAGCCACCACACCCGACCCAAAAACAAGATAATTGTTAAGAAGATGATGGGAAGTAGGGAAGTGAAGTGGGCACTGAAGAGGGGAATGCTCAGCAAACCTGCACATTTCAGAATATAAGTTCTGTGCCCAACAGCTTGGTGAACATGAATTACCCATCTCTAATTCCCTGTCCTAATGGTTGTTTTGAGTTCCAGGTAAATTAATTACCTGAGAAATGCATGATTCTGAAACAGAGGGTCAGGGAGCAGGCACAAAGAATGGTGAAAGTGATAGATGGTTTGCTGATGATACAGGCATATCAGGGACGCGTGCAGCCTGCTCATCCCAGCTGACGTTGCAGGATCCTGTCTGAGTTTGTCCCTTCTGCCTGTGTCTCCACTGGGCTTGTGTGGCCCAGAGATGTGGTTTTCTGCCTGACAGATGAGGAAAGGGAGTTTTAGGGATTCTGTGAACTTGATCCATTCCTATAAATAATGGTGAAACGACTCAGCCTCAAATGGATCTTTCTATTTTTATTTTTTTGATACAGAGTCTCGCTCTGTCACCCAGGCTGGAGTGTAGTGGCAGGATGTCTGCTCACTGTAACCTCCATCTCCTGGGTTCAAGCAATTCTCCTGCCTCAGCCTCCCAAGTAGCTGGAATTGCAGGTGCCCACCACCACACATAGCTAATTTTTGCATTTTTAGTAGAGACAGTGTTTTGGCATGATCGCCAGACTGGTCTCAAACTCCTGACCTCAACTAATCCACCAGTCTCAGCCTCCCAAAGTTCTGAGATTACAGTTGTGAGTTACTGTGCTGGGCGTAAAATGGAATTGACCTCAGGGGCAAAGCTCTTCATCACGCAGCATCCTAAGTGTTGACCAGACAATCAGAATGACCCTGGGCTTAGGCAAAATAGTCTTTTCCCTTCACCTTGACATTCCCCACCACCCTCAATTCACCCTACAATTCCCCAGAACTAACTTCTTGTTCTGTCTCCCCAGCTGTCTGAAGACCCCGTTAAAGATCCTTGCAATAACTAACTGTGTGCTTTTGGAATCTGACTTGAGGCATCTGTCCCAGTGCCCGAGTGTCAGTCAACTAAACACCCTGGACCTGAGGGGCGTCAGACTGGCCAATGTCAGTCTTGTGCCTCTCCAAATTCTGCTAGAAAAAGTCGCAGGCACCCTTGAGTACCTGGATTTAGATGACTGTGGCATCGTAGACTACCAAGTCAACACCATCCTGCCTGCCCTGAGCCACTGCTTTGAGCTCACCACCTTCAGCTTCTGTGGAAATCCCGTCTCCATGGCCACCCTGGAGAACCTGCTGTGCCACACAATCAGATTGGACAACTTATGCCTGGAGCTGTATCCTGCCCCGCGGGAGAGTTATGATGCTGGTGGTACTCTCTGCCGGAGCAGATTTGCCCAACTTGGGGCTAAGCTGATGGGGAGAGTGAGGGATTTAAGGGAGCCCAAGAGGATCTTGTTCTGTACTGACTACTGCTCTCGCTGTGGCAACAGGTCATTTTATGACCTGGAGTTAGATCAGTGCTGCTGTTGAATACCTGCCTATTTGGGTAGATATATCCAACTCATTTTTCTGGACACCTGAAAACTAAAACCTAGGCCTTTTTGCACCCAGGCTGGAGTTCAGTGACACGATCCCCACTCACTGCAACCTCTGCCTCCTGAGTTCAAGCGATTCTCTTGCCTCAGATGCACCCACAGTAATGCTTCTTAAATATTTCAATGCCACATTTTAAAAGTTTCATCTAGGCTGGGCACGGTGGCTCATGCCTGTAATCCTAGCACTTCAGGAGGCTGAGGCGGGCAGCTCACGAGGTCAAGAGATGGAGACCTTCCTGACCCAACATGGTGAAACCCCGTCTCTACTAAAAATACAAACATTAGCTGGGCGTGGTGGTGCACGCCTGTAGTCCCAGCTACTTAGGAGGCTGAGGCAGGAGTATCACTTGAACCCGGGAGGCGGAGGGTGCAGTGAGCCGAGATCGTGCCACTGCACTCCAGTCTGGTGACAGAGCGAGACTCTGTCTCAAAAAAATAAATACAGACCAGGCGCGGTGGCTCACTCCTGTAATCCCAGCACTTTGGGAGGCCAAGGTGGGCGGATCACGAGGTCAGGAGGTCGAGACCATCCTGGCTAACACGGTGAAACCCCGTCTCTACTAAAAATACAAAAAATTAGCCGGGGGTGGTGGCGGGCGCCTGTAGTCCCAGCTACTCGGGAAGCTGAGGCAGGAGAATGGCGTGAACCCGGGAGGCGGAGCTTGCAGTGAGCGGAGATAGCGCCACTGCACTCCAGCCTGGGCGACTGAGTGAGACTCCGTCTCAACAAAAAGAAAAAAATAAATAAATACAAATAATCTGTCTCAAAAAAAAAAAAAAAGTTACATCTTTTTGGGGAGCTGGGTCAGATCGATGAGAGATTTTCTCATAATGCCCCCCCTCTAGAGCCCTATCAAGGAAGAGCCTCTGGGAGGCACCAACACTTGACTTGTTCCCTGACGACTAGCAGCTCTTCTTGAATTGAACTGGTTGTAGCCAGTAAAGACAGCCACATTCCCTTTAAGCAAAATACTAAAACTATACAGGCATCAAATACTTTTAAAATATTTCCATCTGACATTTAAAAAGTTTCATCTTTTTGGGGCGCTATGGCCGGATTGATGAGAGATTTTCTCATAACACCTCCTATCTCTCCCCATCAAGGAAGAGACTGGTGCAGCGTGTTTTGGAATCTCACATCATCCAAGGGTGGAGAACGATCAAGTGCCTGTGGGTGATGAGTGACCTTCCCTGAAGAGCCTCAGGTTCCCTGTAAAATGAGGATGATGTTGTCCAACAGCTTATGGGACCCTGGTAGGATCCAATAAGATGGTTCATGTTTAGGGCTTGGCATGGGGCCTGGCATACGGCCTGGCATACAGTAAGATCAATATATCTTGTTCTTTTTTCTCTTCTCAGCAGAAGTCCCAGCATTTTTCATTTTTCTTTTCTTTTTCTTTTTCTTTTTTTTTTTTTTTAAGACAGCCTCGCTCTTCACCAGGCTGGAGTGCGGTGGCGCAATCTCGGCTCACTGCAACCTCCGCCTCTTGGGTTCAAGCCATTCTCCTGCCCAATGCTCCGGAGCAGCTGGGACTAGAGGCGCACGCCACCATGCCCGGTTAGTATTTGTATTTTTAGGAGAGACGGAGTTTCACCATGTTGGCCAGGATGGTCTCAATTTCCTGACCTCGTGATCCGCCCCGCTAGGCCTCCCAAAGTGCTGGGATTACAGGCATGAGCCACCGCACCCAGCCGCATTTTTCATCTTTCAATTTCACCTCTGATTCTTGGTAACAGGGAGGCAACAAGAACCCAGGGCATGCAGTGGGGCTCAGGTTGTAGACGCTGCCACAATTTCATCATGATTCCTCCAAACAGCAGAGCCGCAGGAGCCAGCAGGCGGCAGGGTGGGCAGTGCAGGACTCAATTCATTTCTAGTGATTATAAGATCAAAATTTCCAATCCGTGGGTCTCGACTGCCATCTGCTGGTAGATCAGACCAGATGGTGTAATTTAGGGTTGCAAAGATTATATTTTATGGTATTTAAAAAAAATTTACTATTATGTAAATACTATTTGAGTATAAATATTTGTGTTGTCATTTATGTATATTAAAGATATAGAACTTCTAAAGAATGCAATGTAATATTTTAAGAATGGTCAACGACTGGAAGAGCCCTATCAAGGTTCTTCCTTGATAGGGCTCTAGAGGGGGGGCATTATGAGAAAATCTCTCATCGATCTGACCCAGCTCCCCAAAAAGATGTAACTTTTTTTTTTTTTTTGAGACAGATTAATAGCCACAGGAGCCGTGGCTCACGCCTGTAATCCCAGCACTTTGGGAGGCCAAGGTGGGTGGATCACCAGGTCAGGAGTTCGAGACCAGCCTGGCCAAAATGGTGAAACCCCCATCTCTACTAAAACTACAAAAAATTAGCCAGGCGTGGTGGCACACACCTGTAATCCCAAGTACTCAGGAGGCTGAGGCAGGACAATCGCTTGAACCCAGGAGGCAGAGGTTGCAGTGAGCCGAGATCATGCCACTGCACTCCAGCCTGGGCAACAGAGCAAGACTCCATCTCCAGGGAAAAAAACAGGCTGGGCGCAGTGGCTCATGCCTGAAATCCCAGCACTTCGGGAGGCAGGCGGATCACCTGAGGTCAGGAGTTCGAGACCAGTCTCGCAACATGGAGAAACCCTGTCTCTACTAAAAATATAAAAATTAGCTGGGCGTGGTGGCGCATGCCTGTAATCCCAGCTACTCGGGAGACTGAGGCAGGAGAATCACTTGAACCTGGAAGGCGGAGGTTGCAGTGAGCTGAGATCACGCTATTGCACTCCAGCCTGGGCAACAAGAGCGAAACTCCATCTAAAAAAAAAAAAGAATAAAAAAATGGTTACCTTAGTTTGGATTCTCAAAACGAAAGAGATTTTTTAAACTAATTTTAAAGACACTGAACAATAATCGTTTATTCTTTAAAATATACTTAGAATAATACAATTTTAGCACTGGAAGGAAGCATTACAGGTTTTTTAAAATATTGAGTTTATTTTATTTTATTTTGAGACCGGGACTCACTCTGTCATCCAGGCTGAAGTGCAGTGGCATGATCACGGCTCATTGCAGCCTTGACCTCCCAAGGATCAGGTAATCTTCCTGCCTCAGCCCACCTAGTAGCTGGAACAACAAGCATGCACCACCATGCCTGGCTTATTTTTGTATTTTTAGTAGAGACCAGGTTTCACCATGTTGCTCAGGGTGGTCTTGAACTTCTGGGCTCAAGCGATCCCAAAGTGCTGGGATTGACCTGTGCTCATACCCCCGCACAGGTATGAGCCACCGTGCCCAGACTTCAGTTTATTTATTTATTTATTTATTTATGAGAACAAGTCTCACTCTGTCACCCAGGCTGGAGCACAGTGGCACGATCTTGGCTCACTGCAACCTCCTCCTCCAGGGTTCAAACGATTCTACTGCCTCACCTCCCAAGTAGTTGGGATTACAGGCATGCACCACCACGCCTGGGTAAGTTTTGTATTATTATTTTTATTTTTAATAGAGACAGGGCTTTGCCATGTTGGTCAGGCTGGTCTCGAACTCCGGACCTCAGGTGATCCACCCACCTCGGCCTCCCAAAGTGCTAGAACTACAGGCGTGAGCCACCGTGCCCGGCCTATTATTATCATTTATTTATTTTTCTTTATTTATTTACTTTGAGATGGAGTTTCACTCTTGTTGCCCAGGCTGGAGGCAATGGTGCTCTTTGCTCACTGCAACCTCCACCTCCCGGGTTCAAGCAATTCTCCTGCCTCAGCCCCAGAGTAGCTTGGATTAGAGGCACCCACCACAATGCCCGGCTAATTTTTTTGTATTTTTAGTAGAGATGGGGTTTCACCATGTTAGCCAGACTGGTCTCAAACTCCTGACCTCAAGTGATTCACCTGCCTCAGCCTCCTAAATTGATGGGATTTCAGGCATGAGCCACCACAGCCTATTTTCTTAATAGCAGTTTTAGGTTCACAGAAAAACTAAACAAAGTTCTCATCCACCCTCTTCCCCCTTCAATATACAGCACCCCCAGAGGATCAACACCCACACCAGAGCAGAGCATTCATCACAGTCAATGGGCCACACGGATGCATCACTATCACCCACTGTCCACAGTTTACATGAGGGATCATTGCTGGGTTTTACATTCTATGGATTTTAACAAAGGGATAATGACATGTATCCACCATTAGAGCATCATGCAGAGTAGTTTTGTTTCCCTAAAAGTTCTCTGTCCTCTTCTCATTCATCCCACTGTGCTCCCAGCCCATGGCAACCACTGGACTTTCTACCGTCTCCATAGAAAAAGGCAAAACCCTTTTCTGGAACGTCTAACAGGATGAGTCTTTTCACATTGCCTTCTTTCACTTGTACAGTAAAATCATGCATTTAGGAATCTTTCTTTGATTTTTTGGGTTTTTTTGTTTTTGATTTTGTTCGACACAGAGTCTCATTCTGTTGCTCAGGCTGGAGTGCAGTGGCGCGCTCTTGGCTCACTCCAATCTCTGCCTCCTGAGTTCTCTTCCTCAGCCTCCCGAGTAACCAGGATTACAGGCACCCGCCACCACACCCAGCTAATTTTTGTATTTTTAGTATAGACAGGGTTTCGCCATCTTGACAGGGCTGGTCTTGAACTCCTGACCTCATGATCCACCCACCTCAGTCTCCCAAAGTGCTGGGATTACAGGTGTAAACCACCGCACCCAGCTAGGAATATTTCATATCTTTTTATGGCTTCATAATAGTTTGCTGGATGGATCAGTTTGTTTATCCAGTCACCTACTGTTCAGTAGGTGCCATTCAGCATCTCCCTTGCTTCCAAGTTTTGAAAATTAATAATAAAGCTGCTATAAACATCCAGGTGTGAGTTTACTCATTTTGTTAAATACCCAGGAGGATGATTACTGAATTGTACAGGTATGGTATGTTTTATAAAGATTTTTTTTTCTTTTTTCTTTTTTTTTTTTTGAGACGGAGTCTCACTCTGTCACCCAGGCTGGAGTGCAGTGGTGTGATCTCGGCTCTCCACAACCTCCGCCTCCCAGGTTCAAGTGATTCTCCTGCCTCAGCCTCTGGAGTAGCTGGGATTACAGGCACGTGCTGCCACGCCAGCTAATTCTTGTATTTTTAGTAGAGATGAGGTTTCACTATGTTGGCCAGGCTGGTCTCGAACTCCTGACCGCAGGTGATCCACCCGCCTCAGCCTCCC